CCAGAGTCGAGGAAGTGAGGCGCACTGACTCATTGCTAGAGTACAGTGTGTGTGGTTGCCTGTGCGGAGGATGAACAGCATCGTCCTCTGGCCTCGCTGCCTCCTCTTCCACCCACCCCGAGCGTGGCTCAGACGTTTCCCAAGATCCCCGTCAGTCTGAATCCAGATGTCCGGTAGAGCGTGTGTATAGACATCCACGAGTCTGTGTTCGGTGTTGAATTAAATGGTTATCAGTCTACTGGAGGCAGAGGGTGATTTCCATGACAAAGACACAATGGTCTGGAGTTTCAGACCCCCCTGTTGGTCTGGCTGCGTGTGAAAGGCTGGGGTCTCTCGCAGTGGCCTGTGTCTGCTGGAAGAGGCCCCCCAGGTGAAAAGGGGGAACCGGATCCCTGACAGAACAGGGAGCACACAGGGTTTTTCCTATTTATGTGCAGTTGAACCTAACCAACCAGATCTGAGATGAAACGGATTCAATTCAAAGCTAAAAAAGTATTTGTTAGAAAATAAGACTAAGGTACTTTATTTTTTTATACTCAGTATAGTGCTGGGCGGTACCGGAAACCGGTGTATATTTTCGTTACGATATTACGGTCTGAACGAATGTTACGCTCAACACTGTTTCAGACAGACCATTTACAACAGTGGTTTCCAACCTTTTTTTGTCTGAGACCCCCTTTTTCTCAAGAAAATATTTTAGGGCCCCTAAAAGGGGCAACACGAGCAATTTGCGCAGGCACGTCTTGCTTGAATACTGTGTGATGTACCTGGGCTTGAACTTGAAGCAAAAGTATTGCAAGTTGTTCAATACAAGTTGTTCAAATTTTTTTTTTTAATTTGCACAGTAAAACTTGTGTATTTTGACTGCAATTTTCTTTGTATACGGATTTCTCACTTCATTAGAATCACGACTAGCTCTTATTTGTAAACCACAGCATGATTTTCTAGGGCCATGCAAATCTGTATTACTAGTGTGGAATTATTCTACTATATTCACTAATAATGACAGTAAAATAGACCATCCTAAGGCAATTTACTGCTGTAATTCCTCTCTCAACCAGTAGAAAATGCTTTGAACACCTGATTATGCATGAAAAAAAAAAAAACCCATCATAAACTGGAAAACCGGCATAATTTTGAAATATACATTTTTGAGCAAATTGCCTAGCACTAACTCGTTATCAATTTTATGTAATTGAATTTAAACTATTTAGTATACACCCCTTTTTAGTTTTAGTAGACATGGTGACGTTTTTGTGGGCGGAGCTTAGGTGGAGGCAGAACGATTCCTCTGTCTTTACTATAGTAGGCTACTTTATTTATTTTATAAATCAGTATCAATATAAATTAAGTAAGTGAAATGAAAACAATTGTTTAGCATATACAGTACATTCACTATATAAGTGCAATTGATTGCATTGCAGTGTACTTAGTTTATGATTCTATGATTGAAACATTTGAAATGTTTTTGATTTTCACCGCACTTGCTAATTCATTTATTTAGGAGATCTAAATGTAAATGCATTTTTAATGATTGATGTTTGCATTGGCTATATCAAGACGGAATGTACACGAAGGTTGAAAAGTTTGCGGTCAGTGGGATTTAGGAAAATAACGCTGAATTTATTTGATACAAAATTAATTACAAATAGTGAAAATATTATTACAATTTAAAATAACTGTTTTCTTTGTGAATATATTGTAAAATGTATTTTTTTTCCTGTGATCAAAGCTGAATTTTCAGGATCATTACTCCAGTCGCGTCAGTGTCACATGATCATTCAGAAATCATTTGAATATGCTGATTATTATCACTGTTGAAAACACTTGTGCTTCTGCTTCATATTTATATGGAAACTGAAACATTTTTTCAGTATTCTTTTGATGAATAGAAAGTTTAAAAGAACAGCATTTATTTGAAATAGAGATCTGACATAAATGTTTTTACTGTCACTTTTAATCAATTCAGTGCCTCCTTACTCAATAAAAAACACAGTAGAGTACATGCTTATGTATAACTTCTAAGGAAAATAAAAAAATGACAGAGCAACATAAAGCTAGATGAGTAATGGTTATTTTGTAGCAAACCTCTTCATGTTAGGTTTGTCGTGAAGGGTTTTTATCGGTAAAAATCAATTTCTCTCGGAAACCAATGGTTGCGCTCTGTTACACACACCAGGTAATGATTCATTCTGACCCTCGCCAGCTTCTGTGAGTGATTCTTGTGTTTTTAAACATGACTGTGCTCTCTTCAGCTTTGAAGACTGGGCTCTTGAGCAGCGGTTATGAGTCAAACCGGGATGAATCACTTTCAGCCTGACATTCGTTTAGCACAGACGGATCTCAGGGGCCATTGATGGGTAATGCCGGACTGAACCAGAATCTTGTTAGATGGTCCTGCAGAAACCAGACTGCTTGTGTTTTGACACACTGGGTTGTCATCTTAAAGGCGAAGCGTATAATATCTGCTAGTGGTATCAAATGGAAATGCGAAATGAATGATTTTTTTCCCCATTCAGGTTTACCAAAAACTCACTTTGTTTGGACAAACGGGTTGTCCTGCTCCAAATTTACACCATTTGTTGAACCAGAACATGTTGGACCATTTAACCAATAACTCTGTACTGTATTTTTGAATTTTGTTTATAGATATATACATCTGTTTATTATTTTATTCTCTCATTCGTTTTAAATACGTTTTAAATCAATTTGTTCTTTTTGTGATTATTGTTTTATAATTTGTTATGTGAAGTACATAAAATGACTTGTGCGTGAAATACGGTATATAAATAAACTTGTCTGCCTTTTAATTGAGCTTTCATTACTTTTCGACTGACTTATCCCTCGTTTTTACAATATATAATGTTTATGATGTGGAATTTTTGGAGAATTTATTTGGAAAAGCTTTTGGACATTTAACTTAGTCTTGATCTTATGTGCCTGAACATGGCAGATTACATGCATGTATCAAAATAAATTGGTAAATGGTCCCGTTATGTGATTCTATAGTCTGTTTGTATCAAGGTTTTGATTTAGTATTGCGGTACCTGAGCTGAAATTCGATTCATTGGTGTTGTCCTTGCCCATCTTTGCGCACTGAATCTGGCAAAGGGAGAAATAACTTTTTTAAATGGATGAAATCTAATCACTGGCCATGCAGGTGAGACACATGTATTTGAAATAGAAGTATGTATGGCCGGATGTGTGGGCCATGAGGATCAGTTTACTGCACAAAAGTGACTTGTGGGTCAGAAATCCCATTTCTGAGAAAGGCAGCATTTGATTCATCGAGCATCACCATCACTTCTGCTTATTGTGTTTTTTCCCCTTCCTCCACAAAGTTGCTGAACTCAGTTTATCTCCTCACAAGCCCCACGAGTGGAAGTTGTGTGCTGATGAATCTGCTAGTGTGCCCTGGGCGTCTCACAGTTAGGGAACCATTAACTGCAATCACTGTCAAACTCTGTCATGAAGCTGGTATTAAATTTTCAGCATCTCTCTGTAGGGATCAGCCGGCTGATGAGGGCAATGGCTTCATCTTTGTCACTAGCAGACAGCCTTTAGACCCAGTCTCTTTCCCAATTTGTACTGGAATGGTGCCGGTGCTCAGCCCGGGGATCTGTGAAACTCAGAACCAAACGTTTCCATTCACTCCAGAGCTGAGTGATGATGTCACGGCTTTAACTGACTGTCGTCTGTCCATAAATTAACATGATTTATCTCTTACTCGTTGTTTTGAGAACATATTTTAACATGGAATGTGATTTGATTCATTGATCTTTTTACCTGTACAAGCTAGCTTTGAAAATATATTATTGTTGTTGATATTATTGTAATAATAAAAATTGTCATTGTTATTATTTGGGATGCACGATATATCGGCCAGCATATGGGTATCGGCCGATATATGTTCATTTTTAATGTTATCGTTATCGGCCTGGTAAGAAAATGTGGCCGATATATTAAAACCGATTAATAATGTATTATTCCCTTCAGCTGAGACACTTGTTGAGAACTGTTTATGTTTTTGAATTTCTTGAAATATGGTTGAAATCTCTTCAAAAAATGAAAATCTGGTTCGGGACAACATGTGCAACGCAAATCTGTCATATCGGCTACACAACACTATAATGAGAACATCATTATAATTGTGTGCTTGGGACGTGGATTTAATTGTGAGACTTTTTTTTGTAATCAGGCTCTCAAAATTAGATAAAAATTTGGATTTAAGTTTATCGGCCGATATATCTGTTATCGGCTTTCAAATATAAAGAATTATCGGTTATTGGATTTGGCCAAAATGATCATATCGGTGCATCCCTAGTTATTATGACTATTAAAATATTTGAATTGGTATTGTTTTTTTAATAATATAATTTACTGAAAATGTATAATAATAATTATTATTACTATTAGTATTCTTGTTAAATATATTTATTATTAAATTATTATTAAGCTTGTTATTTAAATAAATAACAAATACAATTGTTCAACTATAAACTTTTTTTTAAAAAAGTCAATTCACACACATTTATATTGAAGATTTAAATATTTAGTATTTATTAATAATAATTTCTAATGATTTTATTAAAGACCAGTTGAAATAGCAATGCAAACAAAAATAGAAATGGTGTGTCCATCGGCTAAAGCGTGTGTTGCATCAGGACAATATTCACAATATTCTAATTTTGAATTTGGGGTTTTCATAAACTGTAAACCATAATCAATATAAACTTAAGGCTTGAAATATCTCACTTTTCAGTTTTCATGTAATGAGTCTATATAGATTAGCTTCACATTTTAAATTGAATTACTGAAATAAATTAACTTTTGCACGATATTCACATTTTTCGAGTTTCACCTGTATGATGAGCAGGATTTGTCCTTGGACTGTCTAGTTTTATTTTGCGTTGTTGTTTTGAATGCTGTTCTTGATTATGGACATATCCACCTCGCCTGGCCAGTTATGTTACAGTCTTATTCTGTCGTCCTCTCTTCAGGAGCCGTTGGGGCCCAGTCCCTGTTCTCCGTGCCACGGAGGCCCGGCTATGGCACCATGGGGAAACCCATCAAGCTGCTGGCCAACTGCTTCCAGGTGGAGATCCCCAAGATGGACGTCTACCTGTATGAGGTCGACATCAAGCCTGAGAAGTGTCCACGCCGTGTGAACAGGTAGGATGTTTGAGGAATTGCTCAAAGGTTATGACTGACTCTTGTGGACGCCCTCCTGATGAGTGATGATGTCTCTACAGGGAGGTTGTGGACTCCATGGTGCAGCACTTTAAAGTCACCATCTTTGGGGATCGAAGGCCCGTTTATGATGGGAAGAAAAGTCTCTACACCGCCAACCCACTCCCTGTGGCGCCAGCTGGGGTAAAGAAACACCCGCTCTGTTCAAAAGCATAATGAGCGACCCACTTAGGCATCATGGGTGCTCTCTGTTTGGATGCATCAATTATTCAATGACATGTTTCTGTTGGAAATTTGCACATTGAAATCATCATGATATTCTAGGGCTTCACGATTAATCAAAATAAAACTTGATTTTTGATATGGTCTGGCTGATGATTATCCATTTCTGCATCTACTCTAAATGATCTATCTTCCCAAACTTGTGATGAGAAGCACTTATCAACATAAGAGAAGCTTTAAAAGTTAGTTCACCCAAAAAAATTAAATTATCCCATAATTTACTTGCCCTCAAGCCATCCTAGGTGTCGGGTCAGAAGTCATTTTTCTGCCAGAATTCGACTTGCGTATGGCCGTTACCGGAAGACAGAGATTATAGTTTATAAAGTTATAAATATGAAGCCATATAGATTACTTTTATAATGAATGGATGCGCTTTTTTGGGCTTCAAAATCTCAGATACCATTCACTCCCATATTAAAGCTAGGATATTTTTGAATATAACTTTGATTGTGTTCAGCTGAAAGAAGACAGCCATATACACCTATGGCTGGAGGGTGAGTAAATGTTGGGATCATTTTCATTTTTGGGTGCACTAACCCTTTAAGGGGCTTTCCATCAAAATAAAACTTTTATGGTTTAATGTTTAAAAATGAAGAAATTGCCATAAACAATTATTAAGCACTAATTTTACTGTTATAATGTAAAATAGAATTATAACTATTTTTATTTACAGTGAAATATTACTGTAATTTTATTTATACTACTACTGCTAATTATTATTATTATTTTATGCTCATATTTATATAGAATCACAAAATTTTGGCCAAATTGTGCATTCCTACTACAAATACTACAATGGGGTGGTGATAGCGCAGTGGATAAGACACATGCCTTTGGTGTGAGAGACCCAGGTTTGAATCCACTGTGAGACACCAGTATATATGACATACAGTATATTGCAATTGTAAGTCGTTTTGGATAAAAGCGTCAGCTAAATGAATAAATATAAATGTAAATAACTAGGATAGCAAATCCTTAGCAAATAGAAAGTTTATTTATTGAAGTTTAAATCGCATTTTTATTCAAATTTGTAAGAATTATTATTTTTTTTTTAAATGTGTTGATGTGTTTTTAAAAATGTGTTGCATTACTACTTGTTATGTGTCTACAGGTGGATTTGGATGTTACGCTGCCAGGGGAAGGAGGCAAAGACCGACCCTTTAAAGTCAGTATTAAGTTTGTGTCCCTGGTGAGCTGGCACCTGTTGCACGAGGTACTCACTGGTCGCAGTATGTCAGAGCCCTTGGAGCTGGACAAGCCAATCAGCACCAACCCAGTTCACGCTGTGGATGTGGTTCTACGCCATCTACCCTCCATGAAGTGAGTGCATGTGCAGCCATATCTATGGAAGCTTGTGTCCGCCACAGAATGAAAATAAAAAAAGGTAATTGCGACTTTATTTCTCACAATTCTGACTTCATATCGCAATTGTGAGATAAAAAGTTGCAATTATTAAAAAAAAAAAAAAAATATTCAGTGGCGGAAACAAGCTTCCATACATATCTCAATGTCTCACACACAGATAAACACTAGCTGGTCGCCCAGTCACGCCTACACACTTATAGTTCATATAATATATTTCATTGTTAAACTGTGACCCCGGAGCTATTTGAACACAGTTTGCATATGTCAATGCATTAGATATCAAAATATCAAGTTGCAAATAAGCAAGTGGATTCTGCAAACAAAAGATGCTTAATAAACTACACTGCATTTTCCCCAGGTTTATTTTTCCCATAAGATAGACAACTTTTGAAAGGTAGTTTATTTTCTAGTGAAACAGAAACAAAAAAGGGTGGGTCGTCATGATTTTTATCTGTTAGTTGTTGATTGTAAGGACTTGCATACGTCATAGACGTCAAGTGAACATACCAGAGGAAAAGCTTTTTATTAAAGATTACAGTCAAAAAAAAAAATATATATATATATACAGACTATGTGTGTATATATATATATATATATATATATATATATATAATATGCATGGATATATTTTTCACAGTAACATTTAAGCATTATCTAAGAAAACAAATAGGGTCAGTTTTGATTTCATGCCGACTTAACGTGTTCTCGAAGTTTTTTTTTTTTACTATAACTTTATCAACTGCAGGGTTTAGTGGAGACATGAAGTCCCTTCAAGTTCAATAAAATATATAACACTCTGTGATTGTTCCTCTCAGGTACACACCCGTGGGCCGCTCATTCTTTTCTGCTCCGGAGGGCTACGACCATCCTCTGGGGGGAGGCAGGGAGGTGTGGTTCGGCTTCCACCAGTCTGTTCGGCCAGCCATGTGGAAGATGATGCTCAACATCGACGGTAGGGATGGGCATTTTAACAAAATTTTGCATTCGAATATTCGGGCGCATAGTATTCGTTTATTTGGATTGCATGTGGTTTCTCATGGTGGTGATGATATTTTAACTTAAAATAATTAATTAATTAGATCCAAAGTAATTCCATTTAGTAGTAATTTCAAAGTTCGTGAGGCAGACGACAACATAATGTGAGCAAATACACACAACTTGTTAACACACTCCACAGCGCCACCCAGTGCATTCAATTATAACTGCGAGTTAGTGTTTGAGATTTATTATCGGATTCACTGCATTTACGGACGGCAAAGCAACATAGTAAAATTCATTTTCAAATAATAAATACAGATCGAATATTCGTGCACACCCCTAATCGACGGTGTGCATCCTTTGAGTTTCCTGACGAGGCTTCGGATGTGTGTTAGCACAGAGTGTGGGAACTGTTCACACTGTTGCCCTGGGGATGAAGGGCTGAAAGATGGCAGGTGGGGGTTTGTTTGATTGAAGGGGGGCGTTAAATGAGTCTCTCTTTCTCCAAGTTCACCAGTTCTGTGTCTCTCAGTCTGCATGTTTTCCCGCTCTCTCAGTCTCCCATAAGTCAATTGGTTGCATCGCATACTCCTCCCCCTTCCCACTAAAGGGCAGGGAAAAGTCTAACCGTCTGAAATCGTCTCTCCTTTCACTGGCTCATTGTAACAGTAATAATGTAGTGAATGGACTCAGAAAGAGCGCGAAAGACCGGCTTTGAGTTCACATTAACATTTCTGTTTGTTTTCTCACAGGACTAATAAAGAGCATTATCTTAACTGGACCAGATATTTTAGTATGCTGAAAGTTTAGTGAAGTCAAATTAGAAAACATATTGATAACCTACTGGTACACAGTCAATACAGAAAGGCCTAATTTGATAATTTTAGGATTTGATGACTTTAGGGGTGCAGTGAAATTTGTCAAATCATTTGTTTTTCCATAATAAAGGGATACGAGGAAACATTTACAAGCAAAACTATTTAATTTAAAGCATTGAATTAAATGCCAGGTACAATTTATTGTATAACAGAAAATACAAATAATAACCAGAAAAACCAAATTTACATTTGGGAATTTTAATTTTAAACAAGCTCATAATAAACCAGGACTCTTATCTTGAAATGTCATGTCTCAAAAAGAAGTGGTACATAAAATATGCACTCTTGCAACCATCTGAAACATATTACAATACAAACACCATAAAGTAAATATTGTCATAGTTCATGAAGTAGATCATAAGCAATCACTTGGCATAAAGCCCTGCAATAGGGATCACTGACAAAAACAAGCCACTTCTTCTCTGTTACAACTTGATTTTTCTAATATTTTCAGGGAAAAAGATATATATATATATATACAGGGCTCCAGACTAACTTTTTTTACTAGGAGCGCTGTTGCCCCTGACTGAAAATTTTAGGAGCGCAAGCAGAAAATTTAGGGGCACACCTTAAATCAGCTCGCAATGCAATTATTCAAATTTCCCCCAATATAACTGTAATACTGACAAATTCTTTAATAATAAAGACTTAACATTATGATTTGCTGTTTTATTTTAAGTTCACAGGGCTCCAGACTCAAATTTGAGGGCAGCACCACCTCAAATCAGAACTCGAGTTATACAAAAACAAACAAAAAAAAAAAAAAAACACATAGCACTGGGGCTGACAATAAATCACTTAGATTAATTTAGTTATCCTCTTATAATGTCTTAATATTAATTAAAAACAAAAGGAGAGAAAACATGTATGTATATAAGGACTTGAAGTGAATAGCCAATAAACATCTTACTGTTTACAATGTTTTTTTTTTTAAATAATAATAATAATAATAATAATAATAATAATTTTAATGTTTAAATAAGAGTTTTCCAACATCTTAAAATTTTTCGTTTTAGGACAATCTTTGAAGAATGAACAAAAAATGTGTTGATCATCACAAAAAAATACAAAAAATAAAACATTTATATATGATATTATCGTTTTGAAGAGCAGGACAAAGATGTGTAGGCTACGTTGTAAGCGTTTGACATCATATTTATGGTTCGAGTTAACTTACTAGCCTAAATCCATGGTGAATGTTGCTGATTTGTGGACTGAAAGCCTTCTATAAGTGTTTCTCCTGATTTCCACGTCGGCGCTGTTTGATCTGATATGGTTTTTAACAGAACTCTGCGCCGAATCGGAGTGTTTCTCCCTGGATCTCGTAGCGATGATGTTATTAATTCTGAGGCGAATTCAATGGATTTATTCACTGGATCTGCTAGTAACAGTGTCGCGTGATCGAGATCGGCCCGCGACTGGCAAGTTCGGGGCTTTATTACTGTCAGTGGTTCGGGGGGCTCCACTATGCGCTGCTCTGCCCATTATGCACAGTCCAACCTAATAAAAACGCTAACGGTCCGTCCGTGAGTTGCGCATTTTAGTTCCACTTTCATTTTGTTTGTATTCGCTGCTAGGTAACGTGTCGATAGATGCTTATTGCTCAGACGCACATTGCAGGTTGTGATATTTGTCTCTGTCTCCTTCCCACAGACGTTTATTCGCGCTATTCTTGTCACGGATTCATTGACGCGTCCCTTCCACGCTTACCATGCGTTTAACGTGTGGCAAATTTACCGGTCGCACATGTGCGACTGGATGTAAAATTCAGTCGCACACTCTCAAATTTTGGTCGCAAAATGCGACTATTTGGTCGCAGTCTGGAGCCCTGATATATATATATATATATATATATATATATATATTCCCTCAATGCTACTACCTCACTGAACATTTTTTTTTGTGTTGGTGCAGAGGATGGATTCCTCATGACCTCTTCTAAATGATGATTTGAACTGCGTTTTTATCAGATTTCATCTCTTTTGTCTCGCAGTGTCAGCCACGGCTTTCTACAAAGCACAGCCAGTTATTCAGTTCATGTGTGAGGTACTGGACATCCACAACATTGATGAGCAGCCTCGCCCCCTCACAGACTCCCACAGAGTCAAATTCACCAAAGAAATCAAAGGTAAGTGTGTTCCTGTGTGTTTGTGTTTTGGGATTGGACAATGAAACTGAAACTCCTGGTTTTAGTCCACAATCATTTATTAGTATGGTGTAGGGCCAATACAGCATCAATTCGTCTTGGGAATGACAGATACAGGTCCTTCACAGCGGCCAGGGGGATTTTGAGCCGTTTCTCTTTCAGAACAGTGGCCAGGTCATGATGATGATGATGTTGGAGGAAAACGTTTTCTGAAAGCCCAAAGTGGCTCCATAATATTCAGATCTGCTGGCTGTGCAGGTCACGGGAGATGTTCAGCTTATCTTTCATGTTCATTAAACCATTCGGTCACCATTATGAATGCCCACGCACATTTTACGTTTGCCTTTAAATTAGCGTTTTAAAAGCCCCTGCCGGTGATGCCGGTATTTTAACCGGTGGGTTAATATCCTAACCGTCACATCGTCCAGTTTTTCTGTGTATTGGTGCATTATAATACTGATACACACTTATAGTCCTCCAGAATGGTTTGAAGGGCTGGGTAATAAATATCGATTTCTCGATATTAATCGATTCTCATTTTTACGACCCGATATCGATTCTTAAATCTTAAGAATTGATTAGTCATCCTGTTTTATTTGAATGAATGGATCATTGTATCGCGGCTGCACCTATCCAAAAAAATCGCATTAATCTTTGTCCTTTGTTACTATTGATATTAAACAAAGTCTCAATTTTCAAATTACGTCCATTTTCTTTAGAAATTCAAAAACATAAATAACGTTTTGGCGCTGTGGCGTGAGATCGCTCTGGCTCAGCTCAAGAGAAGCAGCAGCGCTGATCTCTCTTCCGGGTTAATAATACCAGTCACAGCGCCAAACAAACATGAATGAGCATCTGAAAGTGTGTTAAAAGACTTATCGAAATCTGTATCATGTCACATTGATTTGCTCAATCAGCGTTTCAACCGTGGAAAAACGTCAGTTAAACAGCTTGTAATCAATGTCATGTATCGTCATATTTACCTCAGAAAACCCACATAAACTCGTTAGTCAGCTAGAAAAAAATAACTCCAGAGAGGAGCATTTTGCTAAATATATTACATATGCATTATAATCTTAATGTTCTTCAATATTTAATGCATATTTGAATAAATCTGGCAAGATTTTATGACAGCCACCATTTAAATGTTTATATTTCACATAATCTTCTTATTATAAAAATAAATAAAATTGTAATTTAAGTGTTTGTTTAGCTACAAAACAGTTCATTATTACCTTCATATTAGGCTAATGAAGCCTATAGGCTACATCTAGACTCCGATAGTTTAGAGCATTTAAGAGATTTGATTCCCTTGAGAAAAATGGCCATTTATTGTAACTGATATCCAAAATAATCGATATCGAATCGAATCGAAATCGAATCGAATTGTGAAATTTGTCTCAATACCCAGCCCTAATGGTTTGGTAGTCCTTGGCAGTGACGCGTCTATCAAGCACAGTCAGGATTGTCATGAAATTGCAGCTCCAACCATCACTGATCCACCGTTGGCTTCACTCAGCAGAAACAGTTTAGCCTCTTTGGAGTTTATCCACACCGTAACTCACACGGATGGCAGTGAAGGTAGACTCATCAGAGAATAAAACATGTTTCATATTGTCCACAGTCCAAGATTTGCACTGTTGCACCAGTGAATCCAGCATTTGGCATTGGCACGAGTGACCACAGGTTTGGCTATAGCATGAGCCATGAACATTGACTCTGGAGCTCCTGAAACAGGAGAGTCGAGGTGCGCATTTAATTCTGCAGTGAGTTGGGCAGCTGTGGGTTTGTTTTTTATTACCTGGACTTCCCTTTCAGACGGCTTCCTTTTACGTTGGTTGTGGTTCCTCTTACGTGGTGGTCCACATTACCCTGCATACCGTAGCTCTCGATACACCACAAAGACTTGATGACAGATGAGCAAGCGAGACGTGCACCAACAATTCGGCCTCATTTGAACTCTTATATGTCTCCTATTTTGTTGTGTGTATTGCAAGAGTTTATGTACTGCTGTGGTATTGCTCTGCTGATTTGCTCTGGAATTTAAAATCAGGTTAGATTGGCGATCAGACCGCTCATATGTAGGAGTGAAAGCTCCAACACTATATTGCCCAGTGTTTCAGTTTCATTGTTCATTGTATGTGCTTGTCTCTTTCTCATTGGCTGGTTTCTGTACAGGTCTGAAAGTGGAGGTGACCCACTGTGGAACCATGCGGAGGAAGTACCGGGTCTGCAATGTGACCCGCCGCCCCGCCAGCCACCAAACGTTAGTCAAACCGTCGCCGGAACTGAAGCATCCATCCATCCATCCAGCCATCCATCCATATTTAATTTTCTGTCATCCATCCATCCATCCATCCATCCATCCAAATTTAATTTTCTGCCATCCATCCATATTTAATTTTCTGTCATCCATCCATTCATCCATCCATCCATATTTAATTTTCTGTCATCCATCCATCCATCCAAATGTAATTTTCTGTCATCCATCCATCCATCCATCTTAATTTAATTTTCTTCCATCCATCCACCCATCCATCCAAATTTATTTTCTGCCATCTATCCATCCATCCATCTTAATTTAATTTTCTGTCATCCATCCATCCATATTTAATTTTCTGTCATCCATCCATCCATTCATCCATATTTAATTTTCTGTCATCCATCCATCCATCCATCCATCCATCCATCCAAATTTAATTTTCTGCCATCCATCCATATTTAATTTTCTGTCATCCATCCATTCATCCATCCATCCATATTTAATTTTCTGTCATCCATCCATCCATCCATCCATCCATCCAAATTTAATTTTCTGCCATCCATCCATATTTAATTTTCTGTCATCCATCCATTCATCCATCCATCCAAATTTAATTTTCTGTCATCCATCCATCCAGCCATCCATCCATCCATCTTAATTTAATTTTCTGTCATTTATCTATCTTAATTAAATGATCTGTCATTATTCTAATAAATAAAATAAAGTTATGTATTTGGGCCATTTTAAAACGGTTTTAATTTTCTTCATGGCTATTACATTTTCCTCATAATTATTAAAGCATTTTGTTTTTACAGGTCTTAATATTTTAAATGATAATTCTTATGACTGTAGTACTATTATTAAGTATTACAATAACTACAAGAAGAGTGTAGTATGTAAAACTTTATTGTCATGTATATTTCAAGCAGTAGCCTATAGCTTTGTTGCCACATGACCTCATCACATTGCATGCAGGATATTTGCACACTTTACCCAGTATGTACTGCTCTGGTTTTTGATGCCCTCTATTGGTTGTGTGGTGTATGATCAAGTTTCCTGATTTCTTCCAGGTTCCCTTTGCAGTTGGAGAATGGCCAGACTGTAGAACGAACAGTAGCTCAGTATTTCAGAGAAAAGTACAACCTGCAGCTGAAATACCCGCACCTGCCCTGTCTACAGGTGGGCCAGGAGCAGAAACACACCTACCTGCCCCTGGAGGTGAGTCCTGTCCTCCTCACGGCACGCTGGGATGGCCATAGACCCCACAGTCTCTGTTCATATACGCTTTGCTGTTCCCGTAGGTGTGCAACATTGTAGCAGGGCAGCGGTGCATCAAGAAACTGACAGATAATCAAACCTCCACCATGATCAAAGCCACAGCGAGATCAGCACCAGACCGACAGGAGGAGATCAGCAGACTGGTGAGTCATGTGCACCAGCTTTATTTTAGTGGCATTGAGAAACTATTGTAGTTTTTAATATTTGTAAATAGTTTTTATTAGGGCTGTCAGTTTAACGCACTATTAACGGCGTTAACGCAAACCCTTTTTTTTTTTTTATCGTGCGATTAACCGCCTTTTGGCCTAGCAAACTTTGTAGTTTTTTTTCACATGCTTTTGCAACAGGACGCGGCACGCTGCGCTACGAAACCCATCCAAATCATTTCAATGGCTTGTGCCGCGCGAGGACGTTTTGTTGCTTCGTCGACTAAAGCGCAAGTGGATCTAGCTAGACCAGAAATTGCGGATTTTCATTGTGCGAGTATTTATAGATTTATAAATGTTACAGTACTATATACTGATTCATACTGAAAATAATGCTATATGGCTGAGAACTTTATGGGTGAGGACTTGGATGGAGTGAGAATGCCTGATAATACATTATTTTAGCAGTAAATTTCTAGTATAGCAAACTATATTTTATAAATTTTAATAAGATTATTATACTGGATGCCATATCCTGCTAAATAATGTTTTCTAAATAAATGTAATCAGACACAATATAATTTTAAAATGTATAATATAAATTTAAAATTGTGTCAAACAAAATCCTGTATTTTAGCTTTATAGATTTAATAAAATACTGCATAAAATAAAATGCACTGAACGTGTCTGGGTTTGGAGTTTAGCTGAGATGTATTCTGTAAATTATTTGGCAACATAATAGCATACATAGTCAGAATGCAACATGCATGTGAACGGTTTGATTTTTAAAACCATTTATCAAATGTTAAATACATATTGGTCTGATTAATCCGCAGAGAAGTGTGCAGTTTTGAAATGGAAGACAAGTAGAGACTGTGAAGTTAAACTAAATGAAAATTTTAAATGTTGCCTTGGCAACTATCTGAAATAAAACAAGTTTTTTAATAATTTGTCTTAAGTAACAATTCTTTTTACAGTTTTAGATAACTATAATACTGCAGATGTGCACTTAATTTGGTTGCACAATAATCCAGAGGATGATCACATAAGATCTTCCTGCAGTGTGTTAAACCTGTTCCTGCTGTCTGTGTGGTGGATCTGAATGAAGTCAGGTTGCTGTCTGCATTAATAGAGGTCAGCGATCTCAGAGCACTGACTTCATAGTGAGCTGATTAGCTGTGATCTGAACTCTTTACCTCACTCCCTGCGGATTTACATTCTGCCTGATGCCGCTACCGTCGGGCTTGAGCTGTTAACGTGTAATTGAAGCACTGCTGCACTTTATACCTTATTAAAATGACAGCCAATCAGGCGCTGAATCCGAGCAGCTGACTGCGTGTTGCCGTGGTTGATTTCTCATTTAGATCTCCAAACAAGAGCGGGGAGACCGCGTGGGTGGAAAGCAACTGACGAGGCCAATGAAATGTGCCAAATGAAAAAGTCTAGCTTTGAGACAGAGCTAAAAATACCACGGTTGAGAGTATTTTCACACTCCGAAGTACAGCAGGATCTGAGATGGGGTTTATCAGCCCAGAGCATTTAATGATTCTCACAAACACCCTGTGTTCAGTCAGTCTCCGGAAAGGTTCTTCATTTCAAATCTAATATAATCTGAATTCTGGGTATTTTTAAGATGCATTTTTACCATTTATTCAAACTAAATTGATACCATATCCAAATATTATATATAGGTATGCACGATATATCGGCCAGCATATCGGTATCGCCCGATATATTTTAATTTTTAATGTTATCGTTATCAGCCTGGTAAGAAAATGTATATATTAAAACTGATAAATAATGTATTATTCTCTTCAGCTGAGACACTTGTTGAGCACTGTTTATGTTTTTGAATTTCTTGAAATATGATTGAAATCTCGGCTATACAACACTATAATGAGAACATTATAATTGTGCACTTGGGACGTGGATTTAATTGTGAGACTTTTTTTGTAATCAGGCTCTCAAAATTAGATAAAAATTTGGATTTAAGTTTATCGGCCGATATATCGGTTATCGGCTTTCAAATATAAAGAGTTATCGGTATCGGACAAATTTTTCATATCGGTGCATCCCTAATATATATATATATATATATATATAAATGTATGATAATACTAGTTATTTTTCAAAATTGATTGATTTTAGGACTAATAGACAGTGACTTTAGTGTTATTTATATATTATTATAGATTATAGTATATTTTCAATATTAGCTTTTATTTGTATATTTTCAGTTTTAGTAAGCTTGTGCCTTTATCATTTTTATTCGTTTTTGTATTTCTGAATTTATTGATTTATTTTTTTCGTGGCTTAGCGAAGGGTCAGTTCTCCGCCCCCTCGTCAATATCAGGACCTCATCAGTATTTCTTTGACCCTTTTATTGATGGACAGTGTTACATTGAGAGATTATTTGCTCCAAGTGAGAATGTTTTAGTGTGAAATTGAACACAGTATATATGCCAATGTTGTTTTCAACAAAAAAAGCAAGCCGATCCACTTTTCCATGTTGATAAGAGCAGTAAAATGATAAAAAATAATGGGACAAAAAGAAATCAAGAGACATTTACTGTAGAATAGATAAAAATGTGACATTAATCGAGAGTTAACGCAATTAAATATTTTAATAAAATTAAAACCGAATGCACTACATTTTTAAAACAAAATATTTGAGAGCAAATGAAATATTAACTACAGAAATGATTTTAGGCCTTAATGATCTTTCTCTGTGTATTTCCAGGTGCGCAGCGCTAACTACGAAGCAGACCCCTTTGTTCAGGAGTTTCAGTTCAAGGTGCGAGACGAGATGGCCCACGTGACGGGGCGCGTGTTGCCTGCGCCCATGCTGCAGTACGGGGGCAGGGTGAGCACAGAGCACTTTATGGTACCCTTCTTTTCAATCACCCACATCTCTCTGTGTCTGTCTGTCTGAATGAATGAATGGATAGCCTCTCCTGGAGGAACTAACAGCTCCTAACCGCTGCTGTGATGTGTGAAGTGTGCAATAACTGCTGAAGTAAACAAGCTTGCAGTGATTTTTATTGTTGTTTAGATGACTGAATTAATGAAAGAATGTTTATCGTTGTCTTTGAGTCAGTTCAGTTAGGCTGTCTATATTGTCTGAGAATGAATTATGCTTTTGTTTGATTTTGTACATGCTTTTTTTAAATGACAGGAGATCGGAGGCAATGGTAACGGTGATGTAAAAGTGGTTTGAGGCATTTTTAACACTTTTATAGAACTCATTTTTTACATTTATGCATTTGGCAGAAAGTGACTTGCATTGTATTGAAGGTTACTTTAGACACTTATTTTTTTAATTACACTAAAATTGGGTTAGGCTTAAGGTCTATTAAGAACCACAATTATTTTATTTAATATGAATATTGTCAAATTAGTGACCGTTTTCTAAGCTACAAATATATTTTATCAGAATTATAATATTGTAGGGGCTTAAATGGGGCTTTTCACAATCGGTCATCATTCATCGTTCTAAACCCCGATTTTAAGGATGAACTTGATAGTACAGCCGGCAATATATAATATGAGGATTCGCAACGCTAAAGCCTTTATTTAAAAATATCACGTGCTGCGTTCACCCAATCAGTGACAACGGCTTAAATCCAGGGTTAACGACTTAAATCAGGTTATGAATACTCAGGTGTTAACACCAGGTGAATTATTATGAGCAATGTGAAATGTGAAGCAAGATAACTCATTAACCCAGATGCTGTTAACCAGGGGTTTAGAATGACCCAGGGTTAACTAGTTTAAGTGTGAAAACCCCTAATGATTCAGTAGACAGATTACTAGAAATCTGTGTGCAGGTCATGAATTTGACTACAAACTGTAATACTGAGGCTAGAAATCGGATTGATATTGATATTTACAGATCTTTCGATTTAAAGAAAATTTATATAAATCTAGTGAACGTGCTCAATATGTGTCATCTTACTAGCATGATTGAATAATTGTGTTAGTGTGTTATTATTGCCTCCGTTCTTCCCTATGTACAGGCCTGTTTTGTGAAATGTACTTGTAAAGTTACACTCTTAATTGTGTCAGTCTATTAATGTGTTCCAGTCATGTTCAGTTACAGTATCAGTGGTATATATGTGCGCCCTGTGTTTTTTGCTCACACACGTCTTGTGCAGCAGATCAACCTTGAGCTGTCGTTGCAGAATCGCACTGTGGCCACACCCAGTCATGGAGTTTGGGACATGAGAGGGAAACAGTTTCATACCGGGGTGGAGATCAAGATGTGGGCCATCGCCTGCTTCGCCACGCAGAGACAGTGCAGAGAAGAGATTCTCAAGTAAGACCCCACACCATACATTTAGATATTTCTGATAAAAATTGTGATTGCAGTGTGATAAAAAATAAATAAAAATCCAGGTGTGTGGTGCTAGGACTGCACAATATGGTCAATATGTGTTGATTATATATCAGCATGGCTTTTATTGTTCATAATTTTAATAATACTGCAATACTTATTGTTATTATTATTAATAATTATAATAATACTTCTAATATTCATGATCTATTATTATTATTAATAATAAAAAAACAGATTTTAGAAAAAGAGAAAAAGAGATTTTAATCTCAGTGAGTCTTTTTCCTGGTAAAATAAAGGTAAATGAAATGGAATTATCTATAAATTAAAATGTTAAAAATTCTTAAATAAAATCTAAATAAGTAATATTGCTGTTGTAATTGCTAATTGCGATTTATCTGATTAAAAACTGCTGAAAAAAATCTGATTAAAAGTGATTTTAAAAACTTTGTGAGGCTGGGTAATTTGCTAAAATTCTGTGATTATACATCAATACAGATAAAAAGTAGTAATAATAATACAATTATTGTTATTAAATAAAAATATTAGCATTTCTAAAATAAAAGCAAAATTAGAAATATTACAATTGTAATATTTCACTGTAAAATAAGACAATCAAGTTTTTAAGAAAAATAACAATAATAATTTTATTTCTCCTTACAACTTTTATTTTGACAGAAAACCGCAGTACACAAGAACACAGTTGATAATCACGCTAAGCCATGTGACGACTTCGGTTTTATTTCTTTTAATCGTGCGGCCCTAATCACCAGCGCAGTATCTACTTCCCACACTTCGAAGTGTCTGAATTGTGTTTGTCCCCATAGGGGTTTCACCGACCAGCTGCGTAAGATCTCAAAGGATGCTGGGATGCCCATCCAGGGTCAGCCGTGTTTCTGTAAGTACGCACAGGGAGCCGACAGCGTGGAGCCCATGTTCAGGCACCTGAAGAACACCTACTCTGGACTGCAGCTCATCATCGTCATCCTGCCGGGAAAAACACCCGTCTACGGTAAGAGCGTCGCACGCAGAGCCGAACGTCCCGCCGAATGCCGTCAGACTAACCGACTCGCGCTTGATCTGTGCAGCGGAAGTGAAGCGTGTCGGAGACACTCTTCTAGGAATGGCCACTCAGTGTGTGCAGGTGAAGAACGTGGTGAAAACCTCCCCTCAGACGCTCTCCAACCTCTGCCTCAAAATCAACGTCAAACTCGGCGGCATCAACAACATCCTGGTCCCGCATCAACGGTGTGTAACCATTGAACCATGATTAACAGAACATAACCGGCTCTGCTCATTGGTTGTTTTTAAACAGTCTGCTAATTATTCCCAAATGTTTTTTTGTCAGCCGAACCCCAAAACAAAAAAACAAAGATAATGGTTAATGGTCACATGACATGCAAGTGAACAGATACATATATATATATTTTTTTATTATTATTTTGAAAGTTTTTTTTAATGATTTCTGTATTTTGTTAGATATTTCATAACATATAACAACAGCAATTATACATTTATTATTATAGTAGTTTTATATGTAATTATATGAAATGAAGACAGAAATATAGGCTATTTTTGTTGCAAATTTTTTGTCAGATATTTTTTAACATATAACAACAATAATAGTAAAAACATTTATTACTATCACAGCTCTTATTATTATAGTAGTTTTATAATAGTAAATAGTATTATAGTAGTTTAAGCTATTACTGTTGGAAATTATATATATTTATATAATATATACACACTAGAAGTTACTATACTATTCAAATTATTATTTTTTGGTTTACTTTTACTTTCCATTTAATTAACTATTTGCTTGTCATCGAATCAAAAATCTCTGATCGGGAAACCACAATTTATTGACTATATTGCATGCAAGAAAGGCTGATTTGTTGACACTATCAAATGCATTATTCATGCTCACAGCTGGTTTCTGGTGATGTTAAATATGGTGGACTGGTTTACATGTATGCATGCTGTTTTTCAGGCCTTCAGTGTTCCAGCAGCCAGTCATCTTTCTCGGGGCGGATGTCACACATCCACCAGCAGGAGACGGGAAGAAACCATCCATTGCCGCAGTCAGTATAGCTTAGAGATGGAACAAATATGTTAAATATACTACAAAATGAAGACACATCATCATATAAAATGTGCTTTGCTGTAGGTTGTGGGCAGTATGGACGCTCATCCCAGCAGGTATTGTGCCACAGTGCGTGTCCAGAGACCCCGACAGGAGGTGATTCAGGATTTGGCCTCTATGGTGCGAGAGCTACTCATTCAGTTCTACAAGTCCACTCGCTACAAACCCACCAGAATCATCTTCTACAGGGACGGTGTGTCTGAGGGCCAGTTTAGACAGGTGTGGATTCATTTGTCTTGCTGACATAATGGCCTATCAGTAGTTTCATGTTCGTTTGGAAATGTTTCTTTCTGCTCACAGGTGTTGTACTACGAGCTGCTGGCCATTCGAGAGGCCTGCATCAGCCTGGAGAAGGAGTACCAGCCCGGCATCACGTACATAGTGGTGCAGAAGCGGCACCACACACGCCTCTTCTGTGCCGATCGCAACGAGAGGGTGAGACAATCCCTCGCTGTCCACTTCGTTAAATAGCAGGTTGTTCTTGCACTGAACGCACATGGTGAAATGCGTCCTGGGGCGGCGACAATGGCCAACTCACAGGGCTTATATTTACCAGTGTTGTCTTAGTATTATATATAAATACATTTTAAACATTCTAAACATATTTTTAGCGCTAGATCTCTTATTTAATAGCAAACTAAATGAATGATCTGCTAGTTAACTGGAGGTGTTATTTATTTGTATTGGGTACATCCGTGCCTCAATGTTTCATAAAGTAAAATCATAGTAAAAACAATTGGTGTTGATTGACGCCAATCAGACGTTCATGTTTTTTTCCGTCTATTTGAAAGTTGTCAGAACGATGTCATGTTTTAAGTTGCATAGCCTGCCTCCAGTTTTCCTCAGCTTGACTAATTAAGAGGCGATATATATCATCAAAATGTCCATATCAATAAAACGAAACCACCATTTTTTTTTTTTGTAGCGGAAACTCTGAGATATATATATATATACAACAGTAATAGCCTATATTTCAGTCTTAATTTGTTATAATTAGAGATAACACTAAAATAAACTTAACACTTAAAATAAAAATAATAATGTGTAAATTGTTATTGTGTATATACTATGTATGTTATTAAACTAGTTTGATTAACTTTTATTTTGTTTTCATTTTTGTTTTTTATGTGCTTTTTTATATATTTTTTCATTTTAATTTCAGTCTATTTTACTAATTTTGTTGTGTTTTTTTTTTGCATGCATCATGTCTATATAGTTTTCGTAAAATTTTTGTTTTAGTTATTTAAGTAGAAGTTAAACTATAAAATAAAAATGAGAAATATTGGCTTATCAACTAGCTAAAATAAAACAAGTTTAATTATTTTAATATTTTTTAAGTAACGGAAATGTTTTTATGTTTTAGATTGTAAAATATAATAACCATTTTTTTTTTATTATTTAGCTAAAAGTTCATTTTTGTTTTAGTTTTTTTTTTTTTTAAATAATAATACTTTAACTTAAAATTGAAATGTAGCATTGGCAACTAAGTGAAATAGAATAACAGTTTTTTTTTTTTATGTAATATTTTTTCAGCTTTAATTTAATTAACAGATTTTAGTTTTAGTCAACAATAACAATAAGAAGGACACTTTCTTTAACACAAGTAGACCAAGAACAGAGCGTCTCAAAAAAAGTTTTATTTTGACACACTATTAAAACAATGCTTTTATCGGTAAGTTGATTTATCTGTCAAGTATGAGTTAACAGCTATATTCAAGTCAACAGAAAACCCGTGTCAGATTAATTGTCGGAAGCAGAGTTTATTAATCATCTGCTGACTTGTCTTCAGGGGCGATTATGAGACAAATCTTGAAGGCTGCACATGTTGATTGTGTTTTATAAATTTCCCGCACAGGTGGGTCGCAGCGGAAACATTCCTGCTGGTACGACAGTAGACACGGATATCACACACCCCTACGAGTTTGACTTTTACCTCTGCAGTCATGCTGGAATACAGGTACAGACAAACACATTCTCATTGAGAAGCTGCACTTCTGCAATTAAATGGCTCCTTGTCTACTTGACTAATGATTTTGCATGCAGATTTTTATTTATTTTTATTTTTTTTAATGTGAACAGCAATGGGAAGAGCATCCGTACAGAAATGTTTTTGTTTCACTTAAAACTGTAGCACTCATACGAAGTCCGATCTTATGGGCTTGACCTACTCAGACCACTTTGTCCAGATTTTGTAAAACATGTCTCTTTGAATCCTGAGTGTAAATGAAAGCTTTTCCATACTGTAGATTTCATGGATTATGTTGACCCACTCTTTTAACTCTTTTCCAGTTTTAACCATTAATATCCAAAGCAATCTCTTGTCCTTATTTCTCCAGTTATTAACATCAGCATTGCCCAAATACACATTTTCAAAATTGCAAGGTATTTTACTACCAAATATATGATTAATATGTTCACACATTTGTGACCAATAAGGGCTTAAAATTGGGCAGTCCCAGAAAATGTGGAAATGATTGGCTCCCGAGAAACCGCAGAGTCGCCACTACCCCGGTGTCTCTCTTGAATAGGCTCACACGCCTATTGTTCGAACTAGTAGTGCTCCATTGTACTCTACATATATTCACCCAGCTTTCATTTGAAAATTTGTATATTACCTTCCATTTCCCACAGATTTGGATTTATCAGGTCAAAGAACTGTTATGTAATCTAGAACACACATTCAGTCTGAATATAAAAAGGCTGAATGTCACACAATTCTCACACAGAAGTCACTCTAAATTGTCAGGGCTGTTGCACTAGGATGTTTTAAAGACATCTTCAAACTACAGTATCGTTTAAGATGTTTTTGAGGGCATTCGGCACAGGTTTGAGTCTTCTTCCTCTCGTCTCAGGGCACAAGCCGACCCTCCCACTACCATGTCCTGTGGGACGACAACTGCTTCACTGCGGATGAGTTCCAGCTGCTCACTTACCAGCTGTGCCACACGTACGTGCGCTGTACCCGCTCCGTCTCCATCCCCGCGCCAGCCTACTACGCCCACCTGGTGGCCTTCCGTGCCCGCTACCACTTGGTGGACAAAGAACACGACAGGTGTGTGTGTGCCGTTGCTTCAGCATTGCACTATTACTGGTGATATAGCAGAAAAATGATGTATTGTATTGTGCATTTTCAGTGTTTGTTTAATTTTTAGCAATCAAAATGGCTGATTTTATGGCTGTAATTTCCAAACATTTGTGATGTTTTTATATATATAATAGGGCTGTGCAAAAATTAATTGCGATTAATCGCATCCAAAATAAAAGTCTGTGTTTAAATAATATATTTGTGTGTGCTGTATATAATTATTTTGTATATATAAATACAAACACATGCATGTATATATTTAAAAAATATTTATATTTCCATATTATATATTTATAAAATATTTATATTTGTTTAATATAGATTATGTATTTATATATATATATACATAATTTAAGCGCAAATAGTTCTTAAATATATACATGCATGTGTGTGTATTTATATATACAAAATAATTATATACAGCACACACAAATATATTATGTAAACACAGACTTTTATTTTGGATGCGATTAATCGCAATTAATTTTTGCACAGCCCTAATATATAATAGGATAATCGGACAGAAAATGTACAGTTGGCAACAACAATGCAGAAAGCTTGTTTATTTTTGTGCTATCCAAGTAAGAAATACAACAAAACCAAATGATGAAGTGTAAAATAAAATGCTGCATAGTCTTCTCTGTATGAATTAAATATATTCAGTAAAGAGCCGTGAGAGATTTTCTCTGAGTAAAATTAATTGTTGCCATGTGATTAAATCAAATGTAGCATTAAATGTAGCACTTTAGTGTGTGATGGATGTAATAATGTGATTTCATATATTAAGATGGCTCCTGCGATAAGCATTGTAGTCGGGCATTGAGAAACATTTGCTGTCTTTCAGTAAAGCAGTGACTTTTATCTCACATTTAGTGTCTGTTTTTAATTATTAGAGTTTGTGGCCTTTTTTGTTGCATTGTTGTCTAGTAAAATTAAAAAGCCATTTTGATTAATTTTTACTTTTGTTTTCACCCTAAATTGCAACTGTTTTTGCAGGTCTTAAAGTCTTTACACGCCATTACACAAATAAAGGCCTTAAAGGGATACTCCACTTTTTTTGGAAATAGGCTCATTTTACAACTCCCCAGATTTTTTTTTTTTTTTTTTTTTACATTTTTTTAATGTGAACAGCAATGGGAAGAGCATCCGTACAGAAATGTTTTTCTTTCACTTAAAACTGTAGCACTCATACAAAGCCTGATCTTATGGGCTTGACATACTTGACATATAGCAGAAAAATTATGTATTGTGCATTTTCAGTATATGTTTAATTTTTAGCAATCAAAATAACTGATTTTATGGCTGTAATTTCCAAAAATTTGTGATTTTTTTTTTTTTTATATATATATAGTATATATATATAGGATAATCGGACAGAAAATGTACAGTTGGCAACAACAATGCAGAAAGCTTGTTTATTTTTGTGCTATCCAAGTAAGAAATACAACAAAACCAAATGATGAAGTGTAAAATAAAATGCTGCTTAGTCTTTTCTGTATGAATTAAATATATTCAGTAAAGAGCCGCGAGAGATTTTATCTTAAAACTAATTTGAGTAAAATTAATTAATTGTTGCCATGTGATTAAATCAAATTAAATCAAATCAAATCAAATAGGCTCATTTTACAACTCCCCCAGAGTTAAACAGTTTCATCGTTTTCAAATGCATTCAGTCGATTTTCTGATATTTAGAAAAAAAACAGACAGTACCTGGTCTCATTGACTTCCATAGTAGGAAAAAAAATATACTATGGAAGTCAATGAGACCAGAAACTGTCTGCTTACTGATATTCTTCGAAATATCAGAAAATCAGCTGGATGGATTCGAAAACTGTAAAACTAACTCTGGGGGAGTGGTAAAATGAGCCTATTCCCCCCCCCCCAAAAAAAGTGGAGTATCCCTTTAAAAAAAACTCTTAAAGTCATGGCATTAAATGTTGCATGTATATTTTTTTTTGTCCTTTTACCCAATGCAAATGTATAAAATATCCATACATTTACTTCTCACTCACAAAGTGTTGCTCATTATGTTTCTCCTTCGACGTTTACATTTTAGAGAACATTTTGACATGTTGTGTTTCCCTTTTCTTATATTATGTTTTGTGTTCTGCGATCTTCCAGTGCCGAGGGCAGCCACGTCTCCGGGCAGAGCAACGGTCGGGATCCCCAGGCGCTGGCCAAAGCTGTGCAGATTCACCACGACACCCTGAGGACCATGTACTTTGCCTAAGCCAGCTCACACCAAGCCCACGTTTGACTAGTCATGCACACGAACCCGACAACCACACACACACTCTCTCAGTCACACCTCCCAAAAGCCTGTGCGTCCCGAAGGGTCGATCTCTGTGGCGATGGAAGCACGGCTCACCCCGACACTGTGCAGCAGGATGAGGAAGGCCTGCTTTAATTGCACACGCGGACCTCGGCACTATTATGCAATATTAAACCAGCCGACTGAGGCCGTTCTGTCATATCCCCTCCAAACCCTCGACGACAACCAAAAGGGAAGCCCGTTTATATCCCCGCTGTAGACGTAACGTTTAATTACTTTTCCTGCCTTGTACCTCAACGTTTTCTAACAGCACTTTTGTCCTCCCCCTTCCCCCGAAATGAGATTAGAAAGAAAGCTTGAGTCGGGAAGAAAGAACGTTTTGGGGATAGAGGCGTCACGCGCTCCTACTAGCAATTTTCTCAATGTACTTTTTCTCCCGCTCTCAATTATTTTTGTAGCCAATGGTGACTTAACTACGTGTTAAAGTGTCAGTCGTGAAGAACCAATTGTGCGTTAGCGTTTTAAAACAGAAAAAGAAGCTTTTATTGCTAGAAAAGTGCCATTGCCGAGCAACCGTTGATTTTAAAGCAGATGTTCCCGTTGGCCTGTGAGCTTTCAATGTAAAGTGATCATGTTTTGAAATGCTTTTACGTCTGAATTCCCTCCAGTGTTTATTTGTCTCGATCGATCGTTCTCTCGTTCGCTTCCCTTCTGCACTTCGTCTCATTTTAAAACGCATAGTTATGCGACAGATCATAGTTTAGTGCAATAATTCATTGGCGGGATGAGAATACCTCCGTAGAGAGGAGAAAGACTGGGTTTTAAAGGTGGAGGTGTGCATGTTTGCCACTTTTCTGAAAGTGGAGGCGACGATCGACCGTAGCGTGTTAACAAGTGCCTGCTGTCGAACAGAAACGGATAGATGCGACCACGCTCGACTGTACGGCCTTGACAAAATCTCTTAAAATGCGAGCCGACTCACCGTTAACGTCTTGATTTTCACTGCCCTGCCTGTTCAGAGGATTTCGCTGCTATTGTGGACCGGCGGGTTCATGCTTCGGTTTCGCCTAAGCACGAGGGACTGATTGGCAGCTCTGGGAGAAGGAGAAGCTCTCGCAGCACCTGATGTGTGCTCGTTCACCGGACGGCCACTAGGGGTCAGTATAGCGTTTTACTTGAAGAGTGCATCAGTGAGCGTTGGGTGCCTTACCGTCTCTCCGTGCGCCATCTGAAGCATGTCCAGCTGTTTAAAGGTGATAATCTGCACTAATCAATGCGTAATGCATGGTGCTATTAGGTGCGGCATCGGAAATTGGACTTGATGGGAACATGGTGCTGGTTGCAGACTTTTGGTCGTTCTGTGTGTTTGTTTGTTTGATTTTATTGCGTAGAATGGTACAGCACTGTGGCCAGTCAGATTAAGATTACGGTCAATTGCACGGAATTATTAATGCATAATTATGACTTTCAGCCCAGAACTATTTATGCAATCAGATGTTTGCTCTTCAGATTCTAATGTATGAATGATAAATCATTGCAGTCGGCTGTTCTAGAGGGTTTTCTGCCATTTTTTGAAGCGTGCATTAGAGGTCGGACCTGTAGAGGAAGGTGCATCATGTTTTCTGCCCGTCAGGCCTGTCAAAAGTGGTTTAAGTGAAGCTGTACGCATCAGAGTTGGAGTTACTTTTTTTATTTCATCTTCCCGAACGAAACCACTATTGGTGCTTCAGAGCCTTGGAGGTCGAACCGTTTAAGAAGGTGTCATGCAATTTTATTTTTGTGTAGTTCTAACTTCAAATATGTATATTTTACTAACCCTTGCCTCTTATTTTGGCAAGAAGTGTCTCTTTAAAGGGATAGTTCGGTTAGAAGTGACTCGCCCACACGTCACATGACTTCTATCGCTGCTGTTTTCCGTGCAACAAAAGCGAACGGCGCTATTTTTACATTGGTTTTGGGGCTTGCTAGTAAAAATCAGTCCATTTCGGTTGCAACAGCTTAAAGGGATACTCCATTTTATTTGGAAATAGGCTTATTTTACCACTCCCCCCCCCCCGAGTTAAACAGTTGAGTTTTACCGTTTTCGAATCCATTCAGCCGATTTTATGATATTTAGAAGAATAATTTCTGGTCCCATTGACTTCCGTAGTATATTTTTTCCAACTATGGAAGTCAATGGGAAACTGTCTGGTCACTGATATCCTCCAAAATTTTAGAAAATCGGCTGAATGGATTGGAAAACGGTAACTCTGGTGGGAGTTGTAAAATGAGCCCATTTCCCAAAAAAAAGTGGAGTATCCCTTTAAGACGGCTGAATTCTTGAACGACATGAGGGTGAGAAAAAATGATTTAGTTGTTTTTACGTTTTAGCTGAACGATTCTTTAAAGCGACAACCGAAGATTGTACAGTGGAAGTGGAGGGAGTAACTGAGGTAGCGAATGCGTCGGGTTCGAGTTTGTTGCGTCCGTTATCCATAAACCTAGAAGCGAAGTCAAACAACCCCTTTTCTCCTCTCCTCTCCTCTCGTCTCGTCTTTTAATGTCAAGCTTTTTTGGGAGGGTCTTCTTTTAGGGTCTAAAACGTAAGTTCAGAGTTCATAGAAAGTGCCTTTCCTCATGATGGTGCTGAATAATCCGAGACTAAAGTGAGAAATCAAAGAGCATATTAGTCTTATCCTTACCTTGGAGAAGGTGTTGCACACATTGCAAACACACACATTTTTAGGCTCTTTGTATATTCAGATGTTATATTGACGACGATATATGCCAAGTATACGAGCGAACGGTTGAGTTCTGTATCATACTGTATTAGGAGTCCGGACCAATTCTAGGTGAATGTGCTATCTTTACAGTAGATGGGGGACAGAGCGGACACTCGTATGACACGGCCTGACCCTGGACAGGAAAGCCTAGCACAGCACTTTAAAGACTGCCACCTAAACAAGGAAACAAAGTCACGGGGCTTTGCGGTCCTTTTCCTTTCCCCCCCCATAAGCCCCTTTTTTTCATGTACTCCAGCAAAAGCTCTTGAAATCTTTGCTGAGGGGAACTCGAGCGAGATTAATTGAGGTTTACACAAGGCTCCGGTGACGTTTAAAATGTCGATCCCTCTCAATGTGCAATGGCCCATATAAACCATACATCCAGTATATGTTTTGGACCCCCATGGCCTGTATTTTGTCACACGGAGGACATGTAGATCTCAAAACACTGCACCTCACTTACCTTGGTATGCTGCAAATGTTGTCCTGCTCACATTTCATGGCCAAACTAAGAAACTGTATTTTGCATGACAAAAATGAAGCTTATTTTTGCGTTTCCCCTCCCCGAATTCTGGATAAATTGTGATGCGTTTGTACACGCACTAATATTAGCTTTCCTTTACATTAGCTTTCAAGTATCATTCAATCACTATTGAGATTGATGGGAATTACAAAATGTGCTTAATTGTTATGAAAATAAAACAAATAATGGAAGCGGTTGCAATAATATGCATCATTTTTGTCATGCAAAGTGTTAAGCATTTGAAGAGTGCCATTTGAAATTTTCTTCTAGAATGATGATTTTTATCAAGCTTGTATATTCAAGTTCAGTAATTTCACTTAAATGACAATTAATAGGTAATCTTCATTGCAATTTAAGTGAAATTACTGAACTTAAATATACGAGCTTGATAAAAATGATCATTCTAGAAGAAAATTTCAAGGCTGTATGTCTTTGCATAAAGAAAATGAAGCCTATTTGTGGCATTGTGATTATTTTTATGACAATTAAATGCATTCCCTCGCTCGAAATCCTCATTATGCGCAAATTTAAATACAGACGTTCATGCATCATGGCTGTATTGCCTTTCATTTATGCGGATTTGTCATTCCATCGCCACTGAGAATGATTACAAAACGGCTCGAAACTTTGGGGAAAGTCTTAAAATAGGCTTCATTTTCCCTGTGCAAACTCTATCTTTAGTTTTTGGGGTGGAGATTCAGCCAGATGTTACTTTGAACACGGTATATCGCTTGACTAATGCCTGACGACAATATCCGTAACAGTTTTAGAGCAAGAAAACGAGTTGTTTTTAAATCTTTTTATTGAGCCAACTTTTATTCTGTTGTCCTATTTAAATGTGTTTTGTTTTTCTTTTAATATATTGGAAATATATATGGGAAATATTTAACGGTGTATTTATTGAGGGAGTGCTTTCGCGGCTGGAGTCTCCGCATCGTTGGTCGGACATCCTCTCACAAGCACAACCACAGAGTGGGCGGGGCCGGCACAAGCCCGAAGTGTTGGATGACATCACTTCCTCCTTGCCCTTTGACTAGACGGTCCACCTCATTCGAAGAGGCTCGCCGCATCTCATCTCTTAATGGGACGGAGAACCACACTGACTTTGTTATTCCAAAAAGATAAAAAGCTGATTGTTTTCATCCAGAGCTGCTAAACTCTTAGCCATACACGTTTCCCTGGAAGGATGTTTGATGCGTCCGGTGCTTTAAGTGGAGTCCAATTTAATTTGTCCTTCATCGTTTGCTTGAGTTCAATTGTCTTCGTGCCAGAGAGGGGGTCCCATTCCACTCAGATATATATAAATATATATATATATATGAGCCTCAGCCTTAACTGTACTCTTTTGTTTTTCCCATTCGGCATCTGTCGAACACCTTCGTTGTGCGTAGAGAAGCGTACCAACTCCCTGTGTGGCATCTCGGTTCTCTTTTAAACCACTAACTGCGCCTGACGAAAACCTGATCTCGTTGCAAGCATCGCTTCGAGACCGACATGTTGTCATTTTCCAGGAGGACGGAGACGCCGAGATGAATGGCACGTGTCGATTTCCTAAAAAAAAAAAATGTTTACAAAACGGTTTACTGCAACGCAAAGCTCCAGCATTCCAAACAAAGACTGTGAACCATCCGATGCAAACGAGTCTGTCCATCCTCCGTCTGTCGTCTCACGTCCCGTGTCTCTTGGTACCGGAGGTCGGCGATTTCCATTGCTTACGAAAGAGCCAAAGTTCTGCCGTTCCTCTCCGT